CAATCATTTTCGAGCATTATAATTTTTACAACTACTAACTGACTGCTTATGTCAGTCACCACTTGCATTATTCATAATATCTTATTTAACTAAAACGTTTAGATAAATCTAAAACTTTCATTTAATCTCTGAGGTGACATTTTCATAAACTGATCAGTAAAATCGTAAATTAAGCCACTTTTATTTCAAATGCGCTATAAATTTATTGTTAAGTGAAAGGTGAGGGTCTCCTCTATTATTGCTTCATTGGTATTTTGTAATCGCATTACAATTCCTCAACTTTGCACACTAAACTTTTTCCAACATTCATGTTTTAAATCTAATGAAACAATACATCTCGTTGCGTAACATTTTTAATCCTCCAAATTGTCAAAAAGCATTTCTTGTTTATTGAATCAGCTGCGAATTTTCAATACTCAATTTAACACTTTCCAGAAAAAAGAACAATTCCAAGTATTGGTTTTTAAATCAGGAGTAGAAAGTATATCTAATCATTCGTTCGTATCATTGGCGGAATTGTTAAGGAACTGAAACCGCAACTAATAATTCAACTCACAGTAATTTTCGAAAGTAATTTTTTATTTGTTTATTGCTCGCATTTATATCTTAGACATTTACGTTTAGTTGTCCGGCATATGTCTAGATAATTGGTGCTTTTCTAATTCCGTCTCACGTACTTCTGTTAAGAAGATGAAAAGTTTGTGACACTTTCCTTTTTCTCACGATTCACTCCAACAGTACCAATTTTAAATAGACTATTATGGATGATCAAATTTCTCGTGGCGAACGCGAGAAAAAAGTTGTTGATGTACCTCCCGATGCGGAACTCATGTGTGAAATTCTTCACAGCGAAACGCAACCTACTGAAGATTCGCCGTCCGAAGAAAAACCCGCAGAGGAAGAAGAGAAAACAGAGGAAGATGCGGTACGACAATTTTAACACTACATGCTTGAATGTGCTTTTAAATTTGGATGGAAAGTTGTGTAACTGGCTAGAATACTTTTTTAAATTACTATTCAGACACTAACCTGATTTTATAGCCATTTTTAATTACTGAGTCATACGTGCATGCAATTTAAAGGCTGAAATTTTAAGAACATGGTTCGTTAACATGAACTATTTTTTGGAAAAATGAAATTCTATTTCACAATAACTTTTTGCAATCTTACATCAAAATTCAAAATTTCTTGTCTTAAATATTTGTATTGAAAATACTAGAATAAAGAAAAATTATGTCGAGAACCTGTGTGTGTACTACCTATGTATGTAGATTTAAAGGAAATTAATTATGAAATTAATTAACAATCATATAAGAGTAATGATTTTTCCTCAAACAATAAAATCTTATAAGAATTTGAAACAAGTTTTTTTATTTTACTTTTTATTATGTACTACAAGGAATTGTTTTTCTAAACGCGCCGAATGCATTGTAGGAAAATGGAAGGAATTTTTGTACATTCTTAAAAATAATTAGAAATCTCTGGGAAATTGTCTCTTCGTAAAGGTTTGCAGTTTATTTGCACAAAAGAAATCAGAAACAATTAAAAACAATTAGTAATTGCAACGTAAAATTTATTAAAAAAAAATTTGTAGGGTTTTGTTAGCAATTTCTTGTACAGATTGTTTTTGCGTGTAGCAAAAAATAAATAAAGTATAAATCATCACAGTTCTATTTGCAGAGGAAAATAAAAAATAATTGAAAGTGAAGTTCCATTGTTCTAGATGTCATGTGGCTGTAGTTAACTGTAGTTAACCGCAAAATAATCCTCAACAATACGATAATAAAGTTAAAGTTCCACTTGTTTCTTTTCTATTGGCATAATTGAGCGTCAGAAGTAAAATTAGATATCAGAAGTAGAATGCATCCATTAAAAACTAATTTAGCTCGTCGCGTCAAAGCAGAACCTTTCGAAAAATCCGCTTGTTTTGGAAACAACAAGAGAAACACCGCGTTTGGAGGGGCTGTTGAAGTAGGTTGAATTAAACCGCTGGCTTACGCGTTTGAAGAAGTGCGCGCAGATGATACCCGCCGATGGTCAGTTTCGAGTGGTGTGCTAGAAATGCAGTGTCTGTGTATTACAATTATGTGAAATGGGTGATTTGATGTTGAAGCAAAAGCAGCCGCGAGTGCCCCATTGGCAAGGCATTGACGTGTTGTCAAGGCAGCCCTGGCCTTCGGCGCAAAGAATAAATACCCAGAAATCGCCTTTTAACTTCCGGCCACCGGAACCTCCGGCCTGGAAGGAGCCAAATCCGTACTCGTACCAGGCGCCTCTTTACAATTACCAAAATCCCAAAAGAGACCATTATTTCTTATCGCCGTACTACCGTAATGCTATGCCGCCGCCTCCTAACCCCAATCGGCTACTCATGATCGATCCGAGAAGACGTTTCTTTAAGCAGAATGAAGATTCGTGTTATTGTCGATCGAGATCGATGGAGGATGTTAGGGCGGATGTTGTTACTCCGGATTTTCAAAACGATGTCAACGGCAATAGAGTGCCTATTCCTATGAAGAAGGATTTTACCAAATATGCTAACAGAAGGTCCATGGATAATCTTTTGGTGGATACAAATTTTTCACCACCCAGAAAACGATCGGGAAGACTACAGGTTATAAGTTTCTCTTTTTCGTGGTGATTTTCTATAGAAAATCAATTTGTTGGTGCTTATTGAATAAACGTTCCAAAAATTATTTATCTGGATACTTCATGCTCCAGTTAAGATTCATTAAACATGTTAACACACTTTGCTAATTCTAAAGGCAGTGAGGCCAAACATACTCGACTCTGTTGTTTTATGATTTTTGAAAAATACTGAGTAAAAAGTTGATAACTTTCAATTAAGTAGTAGTTGTAATTAAGTAGTAGGTTGTTTTAGGTTAGGAGAATAAACATTATTGACTATGATAGCTACCGGTATTTACACAACAGTTGCTACTCGCTGTTGATGTTTAAAAATTAATATGGGACTAAATAATTATTCATTAAGTACATTATATCTATTGGTAGACGTACTGTAAAACCAATAAATTTAATTATCATTGCTTTATTATATTACAATTGGTGTAATAAAAAAATCTGTTTTTCTTTTTTTATTAATAGGTAACTGTTAATTATTTTGTGTGGCTCAAAATGCTGATTATATTGTACTATGGCAATAGAGAAATAAAAATTGTTTATGGCTAAGTAAAAATTCAATTATTTTATTACATTATTTATAATTTTGTTAGGAGAAAAATATAGACTAAATTGTATAATCGTACGTTTCTTTAAAAACGCGATAAATATTTATGATGAAAAATACTTTCATTTTTTCTTACTTTGTTATCTATTATTAAGATTTATCTAATTTCTCACGTTGATTCTCACTCTCTCTAATAAATATTTTAGTTAACAAATGACTTAATGAAAGGGAAATCGTACATTAAGTCAGCGTCATTAGACGAACACAAAATCTTTATAATAATAGTTAGGAAGTCTGCAAAATATTTATAAATAAAAAATGTAATTTCATAATTAATAAATGAAATTAAAATCACTGAAATACGAATTTGTTAGCGGATTATTAACCTTTTACCTACCAGCATTAAATTTATAACTTTTGGAGTGTCGATTTCTCTGGGAAAAAAACCTGTTTAACTGTTTTATGAAACGGACTATACGCAAAGTGGTAATTTGCATGAAAATGTAACAAACTAAAATAAAACAAAATGTTGAATTTATATGTGAGTAGAAATAACGGAAAAGCAGCGACTAGTTTAATTTTATATTTCCGCTAATTAAGGTTTTCACTGACATATTAAATTTTGCACATGTAAACTTATTGATTATTTATTGTTTAAAGTATTTTTTTAATAAAATATGAAACTATTTTACAAGTAAAGTTCTTCGTAAAATAACGACAAAGAATTCTAGTTTTTGTATCGGTCTATTTTTTCTGTATTTCTGTAATTCTGTATCGATATCATAATTAATATTCGTAAACTGATTCTCAAACTTGTTTTTTATTAAAGTAGGCAATATATTTAATTGAACTGCTTTTTATGCCGTTGTACCGATTCTCCGATGTCGCATTAATATTTCTTTTCTCTCCATTATAAACCAAATCAAATCATATTGATCTTATTAATCGATTGTTTCTTGCACGAACGATTTAACTGATATTTCTCGGGCGAGAGAAAGCTTAATGGGCTAGATGAAACTTTGAAATACGGTAAATACCGATTTCCAATTTTTCCTTTCTATATCTTGCTTTGTGACCGGTTGTCTTTTAATAATGATAGATGCTTTTTGGAACATATGACTGGAATAATTATTGTGTATTTGTTTTTTCACAAATTATTTATTTGAATGACTATCCTTTCTATACGAATGCTTTAATATTACTAGTGAAACGGCCTTTGCTTACGCACGGAGCAAAAAAATAAAGTTATATTTTACATGTTGCAAGCACGGGTCTTGTAACATTATGTGAAACATATTGTGTATAATAGTTAGATATTATTCAGAATTGTAGTTTTCTATCAATTAAAAAACAGATGTGTTATTAGAGTGCATATTAGAGAATGGAAGTTTAATATGTATGTTATGCTGTTAATATTAATAAAAAAAGAAACATCTTATTTTATTCATTAGACCTACATACTTACAACCTATTTTACAATAAAAATAGATTAAAAACTTTTTTCTGAAATATGAAAATATTAGAACAAAATTATATCTTCCACTTTAATCATTTTATATAAATTAGCATATTATAATCATGTTGTCATCTCGTAAACGAGAATATATAGGTGAGCAATTTGACTCATATTTTCACAGTTTGAGTAAATAATTATCAGACGTAATCACCAATACTTATTGGATAATTATCTACCTGTTACATTGAACAAGGATTTTGTAACAGTTTCCTTTACAGTAAAACATTTAATTAAGTTATATCACGTTGAAGAACTTCGTATAAGACGATAATAATCAATTTGATTTTTCAATTACAGCCTGTTCCGAGGAACTCATCAGAGCAAGATAATAGCGACAGTAATGGTGCTAGACCCAGATTTGTTGCTGTAACATCTCTGGAAGATGTTCAAGCTGTCAGATGTGCAGAATTTCATCCTGGTGGTCAATTGTATGCTGTCGGTTCCAATTCGAAAACTTTACGAATATGTGCTTACCCCAAACTCAGTGACCTCAGGTAATTTTTTCCTATTAAGGATTTTGTGCAATAGGGAATGTTTTATAGTCGAGTGGTTATTTAATTAATTTATCCGATGTTACGTAAATTTAATTTCTTCTAGCACTTGATAATACTCTGTAATTGTTAAATTGTTTTCTTTTATTTGAAACGACGTTCTTTCGAAATGCGGAATAAGCTGGTGAAAAATTAGTGACTGATTTATTTGGTTTTGCAATTGACAATTGTTGCATACGAGAGCGAAAAAGTAGCATTCGTATGGCGTATTAGGTGGAGTAAAGTAAATTTATTATTACATTGCTCTAAATATAGAATGATTCTTTATTACTAGATGAAGGATTTATATTAATTAGTACTATTTACGAGTACTAGTTTAATTAAAATGTACTATAAAACATTCAAATGAATACAAAAAGACTAAATATGTCAACTTTATTTGCCTCAGTTAGTACTTTGTTATTGTTATAAAACTGCATAATTAAAAACTTGTTACGATAACTTTAAAAATATGTACTAATATGATGTACATTAATTATTATTTTTGTTGATCTAATCTTTTTGTAGCCAAAAGTTTTACAACTGTATTGAACTGTATAGAAGTATTATTAGTATTAGTATTGAAGACCATTTGATTTTAATGAAATTTGGTTTTCTTAGCGACCAATGAAAGGCGATCATATTTAAACTAAAAATTTTATAAATTTTTGATGTTTTGGAAAATTTGATTATAAGTTTGAGGGAAAGTCATGATGACAATGATTTTGGCATTAACTCTGAAGATTCAAATTAAATTTTATTTTCTATTTGTTTTTAATTTTGTTTGTTTTACATATTAAATATTAAATTGTGGTTGGTTATTTTATGTTGATGGGGCAGATCAAATGTTATAAGTTATAACGGTGCTTCTATAGTCTAAAATATAAATAACTAAAAATAGTTGTTTTTAATTCTGACATACTAAGATCAAAAACATTGACGCCTTTTAGATCAAAGCATGTTTTGTGCTATTAATAGTATTTAAAGGAATCTGAAATATCATATTTACTCACTATTAAATCGAATAGGTTAAAAATTAATATCAGAAGTCATTATAAAAAGTTCGAAGAAGAAATTTGTTTACTTTCTTGGAGTTATATATAACGGCATTTTTAAATACATAATGTATGGGCACTAGGGGTAAAATATTTTTTATTTAATCGATATAATAATGTAGACTTATTCACTTATGTGATGTTAGCATCACATTTTTCAGATATCAGTGCTTACCGAACACAGGACATTAGATTTACTTTACATTTTGTGATAAATTATTTAAAATTAAGTTATTGAAACTTATCTAAATATGCTATACTTTTATTGTATAAAATTGGTTTTTTGTTTTTTTTATTGATATTATTTCACTTTTTGAATGGTATTTTTTTTTCGAAAACTTTATGTATTGTACCTAATATTTAATATTTTGGTGTTGTCATTTCGAGTTTCCATTAAAAAAAAATGTCGATGACGTCATTACTCATAAACCAAAGTGTGTAAAATTTTAAATCAAGTTGAGAATTGTGAATTTTTTAAATAAGATTATTTCATAATTTTTACCGCTCACTGTATATTTTTTATTTTATGTAATTTTTTTTGAAGTATGGGAGTTAGCATGAAGATGATGCTATATAATAAAAGATAGTAAAAAGTTTCGAATGATTAAGAAAAAATAATACAACTATTTTGAAAAACACTACTTTATTTCAACAACAGAATTTGGAAAGTGGTGTAGATTTCTGAATTAAAACGAATAAAATCTTTATCATGCTAACTCGCCGAAACACGTGTCGGCGTTATACTAAAAATGCTTTTATTTTGCTTAGATTATGATCTAAAAAAAATGTGAACGTTGAATACTTTCGATAAATCACTTGATAAATAACTTGATTTATTAAATATTAAATTGACCATTTGCTGATATTTTTTTTGCTTTAGGTACAATCTTCTCTCTGATTATGCTCATAAGCATTTATAATAACAGTGACTCTACTACTCTAGATATTTGAAACTTAGTTTCATTCATAAGAAATACTTAGTGGTAGACAAGTTTTCTTCTAAAATCTGATGAATTGTGGTTTACTTACATTTTACAGAAGTATTATCATAATAAATTTTACCGTTGCTACTAGATAATTAAGAATAATCATGAACCGTTATAAAATTATGGAAATTGTTATACACATGTAAACTGTAATCAACCACCTACGTAATACCGATTTTAAAATACATCGTTTTATGTAATTGAGATTTTAATGGTATAATCAAACCAGTTGTATTAATAGTTGCAGTGATAATATAAATTTTCATTCTTTGATAACTTTTTACATGAACAAATTATTTGTTACGTAAAATAAATAATCATGGAAATATTTTTTGTCTACTGCAGGGAAGACCACCAGACATATCAGCCGATGGTACTTTTTAAAAGAACAAAACACCACAAGGGCTCAATCTATTGTCTGGCATGGTCACCAATGGGTGACCTAATGGCCACTGGATCGAACGACAAAACCGTCAAACTTATGCGATTCAACGTAGACACCTCGAATTTGGAAGGCGAAGAAATCGAATTATCGATGCACGACGGCACGATACGCGATCTGTGCTTCTTAGAGGACACCTCGAATAAGTCAAGCCTTTTGATCAGTGGAGGGGCGGGAGACTGCAAAATTTACGTAACTGATTGCGCTACGGGAACCCCTTTTCAAGCCCTCAGCGGACATACTGGACACATTTTATCCCTCTACACCTGGGGAGGCGCGATGTTTGTTAGCGGATCACACGATAAGACCATACGATTTTGGGATTTGCGAACGAGGGGTTGTGTGAATATGGTGACACCATGTACTGTCCCTGGGTCAAGGCAAGGGTCACCTGTGGCGAGTCTTTGCGTTGATCCTTCGGGGAGGTTGCTGGTGTCGGGCCACGAAGATAGTTCTTGCGTTTTGTATGATATTAGAGGCGGGAGGAGCGTGCAGTGTTTCAAGCCGCATTCCGCAGATGTCAGGTCGATCAGATTTTCACCCTCGGCTTACTATCTACTGTCTGCGGGATACGATAACAAGCTGGTACTTACAGATTTGCAAGGTTGGTATTGCTGTTATTGGTTTATTTTAAATGATAATTTGTTTTTGTGAGTGTAGGTGACCTTACATTGCCTCTTCCAAGTGTGGTAGTTGCACAACATCAAGACAAAGTAATCTCCGGTCGTTGGCACCCATCTGAATTTTCATTTTTGTCGACTTCTGCGGATAAGACTGCGACGCTTTGGGCGTTGCCGCCAATGTAGATTTTTTAAAATGTTTTATAAGTCTGAATTAACCAATACTCATTATTTATGGCTGCACACTACTTTAATTAATATTAAAGTTGAAACAAATTGTAACATCTGATTATTTTTTTGTATTGTACGTCTTTTTTTGTCTAACATCCATTTCTAGCTACTATTGTAGAACTTGTTGTATAAATCATATTAAAGACACTAGAAGTAGATGTTAGTCAAGAAAGGTGTAATTCTATTGGCGATAACGAAAGTAACAGAATTTTTCTTAAATATTAAGAATTTATAATTGAGAATAAAACAAGTTTTCAGTTTTATTTTATTGACTGACATAATTTATATGTAGACACAGTTTGTTATTAATTTTATGTAACGTGTCACGTTGAGTTTGTAAAAACTTGTTAAGTTTAACTGGATGCTAATGCGGTTGCTAATCTTTCAGTGTAGTGTTAACTTCTTCAGTTCTAGTGACTTTAGAGTGCACAATTTTTGGCTATAAGTGTGCTCAGCATGTGCTTTCTAAGTCCAGTTTGCATTGTTGTGTTTAGTTATGAATTGAAGTTTAACAATGAAGTAATGTACATACTAACTTTTAAAGCTTTGTATAAAATTATTGTAAAACGCAGTATTTATGTTATATCATGTAATATTTAAAAACAAAATAAAAATAATATTGTTTTTTATTACATAATTAGGTGTATATCTTTTATGTGACTTGTTAATTTCACATTAATAATAAATTTTTAATGATTAATACTTAATATTCAATCTTCGAATTATCCTCTTCAATATCAGGAAAATTTACTTAAGTATTCATTAAAATATAATTTACTGCGAATGGAAAGTTTCTCCTATCAGTGGAAGCTTCTAAAAAATACCAACAGGTGACTCAATTGTGGTTAGACCCTCACTTTAAAACTTTATACAGTTTTCTATCATGTGTGGTAAGTTTAGTGTGACACGTAACAGATGACGCATCGGAAAAAACGAGGAAAACACATTCTTTTGAAAGTTGTGTATATTATATGCATGTTTGTACACAATACAATCTAAAGGTTGCTATTCTGTGCTGTCACGATTAAAACCACGTTCGTGAATGTATAGTAACAGTTTTTTGAACTTATTTTGATAAACGGTTTCTGTATATTTTGTTGTGTGTTTAGTGATACTAAAACCTCTAATAATAATAGTGATAAAAGTTAGGTTATCGTGGTGTGCTGTGCTTTTATTTATTGCAAACAATTGAATGAAACTAAACATTGTTTTGCCAAACTGACAGTCAAATAATTTTACTATCGAATATAGACAAATATTTTTATGATAGCTTTCAAAGAATTGATTAAAGGTGAGATTTAAATACTATTTTATCATTGAATATTAATCAATCAATGAAAAGTTATTTTATTGATTTTACATGCCTATAGGATATTTATAGAACACAAGAATAATCATATGGTATTACATATTCTCTTCTAATAATATAGTATAGTTGGAGTTAGCTCTACTTTTGTTTTTGTTTATAAACGAAATAGTTAAGGGAATTTTTTTTTTCTATGTTCTAAACGCAAGAGACCTTTTTTGTGAAAAACTATGGATCTTAATATTTTGTTGTTGAAAGTGGCAAAAAACTACGGCCAAAATAGTTAGGGTACTTTTATCTTAAGCCCCTTCAGTTTAGGATTCAAATTTTCGACATTTTATCTTTGAATTCATTTAGGTGTGTAAAAGCTATCAGCTGTACTAAATTTTGTAATTTTATCTAAAATGGATTCTGAAATATTGGAAAAATGCCATTGAAAGATGCACCTCTTTCAGGGTGTGTAGGTCCGTTACATACTATTTTTCGATACATGTTCATAGGAAAGTTTTGTCTTAAAATTGAATATTCTATCACCTGTTTAAATTGTTTTAATTTGTAACAATAAAAACGGAACACCCTGTATTTATTACATTTACAATTAATTCAAAATCATCGTAAAGATTTTTAAGTACGTAGTTCATTTATCTGAGGGATGAAATAATTGTCTCTTTTAGTCTCTTACAAATAAATTACATACTTCCATCTCATAGTTTGTGGGAAACGAAAGTAATTTTCTATGTTTAAATAACATTTTAGATTTCTTTATCCTGTAATACCACATTATCTCTATTACGTTTCCGTTCTGTATCCACATTACATTATTTCTTGTACTATGTTCAGCTTTGGGCCAGTTGCTGCTTCAGCTTTAAACAGTTAAAAGACTTTTTTCAAATAATTGATACACTTATTGTAGGATTTAATAAATCCGAGATGTATGTATGTACACCGGTATAACCAGATATGTGCAAATATTAATAACTTTTTTAGTTTTTTTTTAAATCATTATTTTAAAATCACTACCAGGTATGTAAATGATAAATGACAAAATACCATCAAAATAAATAGGGTATTAGTTTTATTTCTTTATTATACAGATCTTAATATCTGAGTTTATAATGATGATTGAGTATTTATCAAAATTTCTTTTAATTTTGTAGCACCACGCACTGTAGATATACAAATACGAAGTGATCCAGAAAGACGGAGTCTGTTGGCAACAGATTTGAAAGTATTCTTGTTAATAATTTGAAACACTGCAGCCGGATACGGTTTTGCTTGACAAATACATGACGTATGTACAACCCCACAGGATTGCCAACATATTCAGTCATTGTGGATCACTTTGTACAAATATTAATTATGAAAATGATAGACAGAAGGTGAAAGACATTTGACATTTTTTCCGGACATTTGTGTAGGTACCTTTTTTGTAGACCCTCTTCAATCTCCCTTTGGTATAGAACTTTTTGTTGCATAAACTTGTGACATCTTTACTTAAATATTTATAAAATTCGCCACAACATTTTATTACGCTGAAAAACTTTATTAAAATACTGAGAATATTCTGCATACTAATCACTATTATCATGTCGTGTTTTTTAATTAGATAGAAAAAGCCTCTTTCTTTGAAGCTCAATGCTATTTTATTTTATAAATACTATTTAGGAGAAATTATCATATCTAATAATCACTTCGTAATGCTATTTTCTTCTGAAATGAATGTAAATGTAACATGTAATCACATCTACCTACTTTGAATTATTGCATCTGACACTAACAAATACCTACCCAATATAACAGTGGTATTAATTATACTATATGTCAGTGTACCGTACCTTTTGCCGTGGGCAAACCTATGAAATGCAAGCTCAAGGAGAACATCATTGTCTCAAAGTGATGAAGAAAATTCAGGTTAGGTTAGGTCAAACACCTCAAATGTTACGTGTGTTGTAATGGCAAAGTTGCGTAATTACGTCAGACTTTGCCGATGGGGCCAAACTAAAAATCAAAATATCAAGTTTTTATTATCTAAATAAAAACTTCTTGTTGGCCATCTTCTACTTCTTGTTAGATCTTCTTGGTATGGGAATGATGAACACAAACACAACCAAACTTATATTTTAAACACCAATTCATGTATCAATACGTTCTCTATTAAAGTTTAATTTTTTTAACGTTTTTATTAGCAATTGCCACGTTGTTGATATACTTGATAATATAGTTATCCACACTAGTGTGTGAAAGTGAACATTTTTTATTTCAGTTGCCACAATTTACTTAGTTCTTCTTTCAATACAATCCGTAAACGCTTGATAGGGTTGCTCAAAGCTTTTGATTTATTTTCGCTCATTTTCATACGTGGGTGTAATGAAAATAAATTGCTAATTTCATGCAGGAAAAATGCAAAAGTAGGATTACCACATTGTCCGTTCATATTGATTTAGTACATGCTGATTTACGAATGTCAATTTTATTGATCATAACTGTATTATTAATGATTTTAGCCTAATATTTAACACAAGAATATTAATTTTATATCATAAAACTTCAACTGGAATCAGTTAAAATCGTAAATATTATTGCTGGCATATATTAATACCATATTATTATATAAGTAGAGATAACAGATAAGTCTGTTAATTAATAATACCTGATGTTCTCGTAGAACAGCTTTTTATTTAAAATTATTATAATTTTTACATTAATAAATTGAGTACTACTCGTATTTCAATGTGATGTATTCCGCTAATTTCGCTGCTTTATCGACAGTAATTAATTCGGTATTTTTGTAAACAAATTTCATACGTATCATTATTCATTATACACTGAATAACGTTAATTTTAAAACAATTTAGTTTTATCTTTTAATTCATTAATTTATAATATAACACAATTAATCGAAAACAACACACCGTGAAAGTTGATTTCGAAGGTTTTTTTATTGCTTTGTTGTTGATAGCAGAGCAATAAATCCCTAATAATTTTATTGGTACGTTAATTCGCTCAAATAAACACAAGACAACTATAGCTCATGTCTGCTGAGTAATTTTTTTCCATTATACGAATTGTTGCAGTTAGTTTTTGACCAGTTTCCAATATTCATTTTTCTCTCGTGAAGACATTACGCAGGTAATACCTGTTAAAAAGTAAATCTGAACGCGTACTGACCAGTTTAGTTTACCTTCACCGGTGTAAGCGACACGTGCTTTTACTAATACCGGAGTAGGTTTTATTCAGCTGACATTTCTTCACATGTTTTCCCGGTGTTTAATTAAATAAAGAGCTTTCTAGAAAGACTTTTACGTGTTTAGTATGTATTGATCGATGAAACATCGAACACCTACAAATTGGTAAGTTTTATATAAACACCTTGTTGCTGCACCCGGTCGAATTTTTATACAATTTTCTTTGAATATTACACCATCTGTGAAATGTTATAACTTTGATCATTTGTAGAAAGAAATGTTTTTCTACCTTGGCTTAAAATTAGACATTGTGTTTGGAATGCATCGATCATAAAAGCTTGTCAAGCAGAAGGAATGTTTACGATCAATATCATTGCTTGTCATGTGTTTTTTAATTAGAATTAAGGCAGTAATGGGTAATAAGGCTTTCTATGTAATCAAACTCTGCTAATATAAAATAAAGACAAACATGCCACGCAATATAAAAATGTTGTAGCTGTTAACATATACTTAAATACGAAAATGATTTATTAGGACAAAATTAAGGAAAGTAATTACTACCTGTCACTAACAAACAATAACAATTACCGTTTGATCAAATGTTTTAATTGTACTCTTCGACAAGGTAAATATGAAGTTACTTTTGTAAACAAATGTTTTATTTATTCACTCATTCAATTCAATTTGTAACTTAACACTTTGCTTAAGTTTTCAATTCTCAAATAATTATTGTTACTGTTATTTTTTTTATTAATTAATACATCAATGTGCCGAACCTCATTGTAGTTGGGTACACCGCCAATGATTTGTTATTTGCCGTCCATATTTGATTTTAATTAAACTATTTAGTTTTGGCAGAAATTTCAACAGTGTTCCACATGCTGGAACCTAATAATATACCTCGAAATTAATAGATAACACGTGTCGCTTTCGCAATTGATAGCAATAATAGTTTTGTTGAAATCTATAATTAACAATTTTTTTATAAAGACTTGCGAAAATGGGTGGCACTTTTTACCAGTAAATTATGAAGATAGTATAGCTACTACGCAGACGTCGTCTCATTTTTATTTTAATTGTTAGCCCTTTATTTTAATTTAAGTACAACAGTCGACCAGTTTTCAATTCAAGTTTTAGAGCTCTGAAAGTAGGCGCGCGATCAGTGACAACGTATAACATGGTTAGTCACATGTATTTTTTGTTAATTTCAGTTTTCTGTTGTGCCTAATTGTGCATGTGGATTTAATAATAAGTCCAGTCACAATTTTCTCAGTTATTTCAGGCCTGGTTGTGGTGAAACATACGACTGTGAATAAGTGAATAATTAACAGTAATGTAAATTTCCTGTCTGGTCCTAGGGGTTTTAGTAATCCGCAAACATTAAAAATTATTTTTAATAAAAGCTGGTAATTTTTATGACAAAACATTTATTGGTAAGAGCTTTTCGCACATAAAAATGTGAGTTTATGGTAAAAAAAAACTAAAAGACGAAACTCGTTGTTATAACTTTGACACGTGTTTTGTCAACGAAGTGTGATTTCATTCTTATGATGCCAACTTTGTTGGGGAAACGTGTGTCGAAGTTTTAAATAAACAGCCTTAGAGTGTCTGGGGGTTTTAAATTTATAAATACATATAGTCATGGAATTTTTCAGGTAAAAGTTCAGATTGCTAAAGGCCTAAAAATGAACTCACGTTTGTAGATAAAATTTATATTTATCAGGAATGTTAAACGTACTATAAATAATTATTTATAATTGTTGAAAATCACGATTTCTTTGTACTTGTCCTAAGCGCACTATTTTGATTGTCAACGTTTATCATGATTGATTACGTCTGTTCGCTACATTTTGTTTAATAGATAGTGATTTCAATTTAATTTTTACAGATTTACGTAAGAATATTTTCCTTAACTAAAAGGGAAATAACAAAAAATACTTATCATTATGTATCAAGTGTATTGTATCGTATGTGCACTTTGGAATCGTTGAAAGGTTTTCAACAATTTTTTTTTCTGCATGAAATGTATGTCTGAAGGAAATTGTGTACAAAAATGCATAGATATTAACAGTAGCTAAAAATAATATACAGGATGGTTTTAAAATAATAGGTAAAGTATCACATAGCGCTGCTTCAAAAATGCTATTCCTAATTGCACTTTGCATAGGTAAAATAGGTTCACAATTTGTGCTTGTTTTTGAAATTTTGCTAACAACGTATAAATAAATATTTATTCAACAAACTTGAGTCAAATGCAAAATTCAATTTTACGAAGTTTCAGTTACGTCCAATAGTTTTGAACGTGACAAGGTAGCAAAATCTAAAAACTTTGCTAAATCAATTATGTAAATACATGAGATCCTTCGTAAGTTAAAATAATTTTGCATCTACTTGAATTATACAAATATTGGAGTTTGTTTTAATCAAAAAGAAAAAACAACTGGTAGCTTTTATATTAATTCATTTCATAAAATCTTAGCATTAGGCTTTTTCAAATATATCACATCTCCCACCATTTTCGTGTCTTTTATTCCTAAATACGTAGTATGTATGTATGTAGTATAATTGCTTCAGATTATGACTGGTATTGGAGCAATTTATGCCCAGAAAATTACATCCGAGGAAATTTATTGTCTGTCCTACTTATCTAATCTCAAACTAGCGATTACAGTTTTCAAATTCGTATTTATAACGTTTTTTTCGTTTGGATTTGGACAGTTCTCTTTTAATTCTATTAGAGACTAATTGAATTTTATTAAATAGCTATCTAAAAGACGTTAAAATACGTAGGTAGAATAGATAATCATATATTGTGACTTTTCCAATATGACTTAACTATGGCAAACGCAGTGAGTACCTCTCAAAAAATTTCTTAATAGAATATGTAAGAAAATACAAGGATAATTATTATTTATTTAATTTTAATTTACAAAAGTAAGCTAATACTTTGCTAGATGCAAATTTTGTCTCGTTTCGTAACATCGCTATAAAACAAATACTAACATAATTTTTATGAGATAAGTTATATTGCTCCCATATTTAATTGTCATGATTAATTTTTGGCAACTATTTAATCGAGAACATATTGCTCATTTGTTCATTTGTATGTACAATTAACAATTATCTAAAACTTCCGTAGGTAAAAATAAAATTTCATTGTCTTGGCCACATTTATTTTAGTATATTGTCCAGTTTTATTCTACAAATTCAACGATCGTGCCAGAAACAAAAGTTAGCATCTTTATATTATGTAATAATTGCTTTGGGAACATTTTCTGAAATAAAATTCCGTCATTAATTTATTTTTGTACAAGTTATTAAATTTTGCGTGCACAAAGGGTTGCCATGAGAAAACTTCTATTGCTGAAAGAATTATATTAAAATGTGGCGTTTCATTTGCATTGACAGTTTAACAAGTTGCAAGTTTTCTGCATACATAATTTCTATTGTTGCAACAATAGTTTCTGTGACTATTAACCTTAGCAGATTCGAAATGTTGATTTGTATTTAAACAATAATAAATAAATCAGATATGCATTTTAAAGTATAATCATCTGAGACAGTTTGGTGTTTATTTATATGCTGGAAATCACAAATTAATATTGTTATTAATTTCACGCATAAATGCAATTTTCACATAAGTTTAAGCAGGCGGAACATGACATCGGAGAATTTAATTTAGTTGCGGTGAAGAATCTAACTGCAGCTGTTAGCGCGGTCTGGCGGCTCTTTAATGTGTGGTGGAATTATTTGACGTTTATTACCAAAACTGTATTTTTAAATTTACCATGACAAAATTACACAAATGAATGTGGTCACAAGATATCAATTAACAAGACCTTCAATACATTGATCATTTTCTCTAATTTATTTGGTTTGTTAATAGGTATGTTAAATTCAAGAGAACTGAGGTAAAATTTTACAAGGTTAATTAACTCTTTTCATTAACTAAGCAAGGGAATAACTACGGTCGCCTTCATGCAATAATCAGAAGGACCTTTTATGAATTTACTTGTTTTAGCAGCTAACCGCAATATGAAAAAGAAATGAAACGTTTGTTACTGCTACACTTATTAAACAAGATTTTTATTATCTTCGTCTGTATCAATGTTTCAATTATTTTTTTGTGTTTTACGAAATAGTTATTTTAAGTAATTTGATGTTATCTACAAATTACCTATATACGTAAATGTTTAGCTTAACTGTAGATGAAAATCAAAGATAATTAATTACAACAATCTCGGTTTGGTGCCGATTTTAATCTTTGTATATCAAAAATACTTATGTTACTGTAATTTTATCTTGATTCATAAAATTGAGAAACTCACAGCCTTTGTGCTTTTTACTATGTTGATTACGATTATTCATACCTTACATTTATTTGTTGTGTTTTACGTCAATGTTATGATGGATAAAGTTTAAAAATAACTTTTGAGGAACAGTTCTCAAGAATTATGACCAAAGTTCAATATGAAAATTCCCCCAAACGTTAATTGTGACCTTTGAGCAATAAAATGATGAATAAAATATGTGAGTGGTTAAGTAGAGTGCATGTTGACTGAGACAAAAGGTTTTTTTTTAATCAGAAATACATAGTGTCGAAAATGGCACATTTGAACATTAAACATATGTAAAGCTGTACAGTTGTATGATTTTATTATTATATGAGTGACATTAATTTTCATTGGTTTTAAAGAGGACAAAAAATTTCGACGGAAATTTTCAACACGTAATATTTTTATTGGAAAAGTGTGTGACCAAATAATTATTTTGATTTATGTGACATCTGTTTTCCCATTTCTTAAAATTAATTGCATTTATTACTAACAAAAAATAAAAAGTAGATAGTATAAAATTTCTCGTTAATCAAACAAACAGGGAAGTACAAACGAATTTTAACAATGGATTAATATTTTTATATTAGTTTTAACAACTGTTAATGCCTATTTTTTTACTGAAAATGCTTATTTTCTTACGTTATCGCGCGAGAGATCAGCCATGGTTACTCATGTTAATTAGTGCATAAATTACTTTAAATTTTTTTTATTAATCAACAAGAATCTTTAATTTTTGTCAATACCTACCAAAATTATACAATTTGATCAATTCTAATTAAAACTTTTTGTAAAAATTGTTAGAATTATTCCTAAAAACGAAACATTAAAAGTGGTAAGTAACATTATGAAGTGTTAGTGTAAGTGTAAGTGTTTTTATTAAAAGTCTTTTCCGTTCTTCTCGTTACAAATTTATAGATAATAGTCAGGAAATTTCCAAATATCGATTATATCTTCTAGTACGAGACTTGATAAGAATGTAGTGCTTTATTTTAGAATAAAACAATATGACGGCTACAGCGTTTCATTTCAGTAGAATATTATTCCATTACTTTAATAAGAGAATTTGCTCTGACTAAACAATGAAAACAACAATAAATTACGCATCTTCATTTTGTAATAGTACCCGTCTATTGTACAGTATTTATTGCGGCTCAGCACGGTATTTGCTGATATATCTGTTATGCACTTTTGTTGTTTTTATGTAGATGCATGAATTCGCCTTTTTTATGACAAGTTTCAACTTTCACGCGACAAAGGTTAAGTAATAGCGATCTAGATTTTACCTTTTAGAATCGCATAAAATTTATAGAACTTGTCCACATAGAATAGAGTTTTTTTATCTAAAACCTACACCACCTATAATTATTTGCTAAATCACCGGAAACGTTTCATTTTCAGACAAATAGACAAATAAAGTTACTAACAATATCCAATCACGATTTCGCATATGGTCAATTAACTAAACACAACATGCTTGAAAACAGCTTGCGAATCACATGACGGCTTACGTCTCATCCCGACGTGTTATGATTTAATCGTTTACTTTCACCTATAGTTCGCAGTACATAACGTAATGTCTTGTTCTTTTTGCAGGACCAGTTGTCGAATTTTGACACAAGACGGGGACGAAAAATACGGCGCGTTTCACTTCCTCCGGAGTCCTCAAGGACGTCGAAACGTCGGATTTAGGATACCCCATGTTTTTTCAAGTTCTTTTTGCAATTACTCGGCTTGGACGATCACCTAGAAAAAAAATCGCTCTTGTAGCGTTTGTGTAAATTAAGTGCGCGATCTTGACACAATTGTGATTTAAATTTGTTCCAATTGTTCGATTCAGCTTACAGATTTTTTTGTTTCTGGTGCTTGGTTTTAGTGTTTTGCTATGGATAACGCCGCCAGAACTAATCTACGAAAGTTGTCCTTCTTGGGATTTTCGCCTAAGGTAAGTTTCAGAGCAAGAATATCACACAAATACTTTCTCTATTTTTATTATTTTAATTTATTATCATTTGGAAACTTTAAATTTCGCATTTGGGTACCCACCTACACTTTATTCCTTTAGTTGCAATACCGGTCTATTGTGAAATGCTAATGATTGTTTCTACATGTCATGCCAATATTAGAATCAAAAATAACACTTTACTCTAGAAAAAGTCTTTTTGTCACTAAAGCAAGAAAATGCATTTTTTAAATATTATATATTCCTGTCTATGCATAATTACTAATTAGGTACATAATTGTAAGTTTATTGCTATCCAAAATGTTAGAATCTTTGCAGCTACCTTTTAAATTTGAAACTTAGTTTTCTATTGTTTTTAAATTGGCTTAATTTAATACACAATATTCAATAGATTATTATACACTATTGCAACGCAGTATTGTAAATTATCTAATTCAATCACAAACACTTAATTTGTGTAGAATTTGTTATGTCGACGCAATTAAGAGGCATCAACGCCAAGCACAGATACCAATTTGTCAATTATTAAAATGGTTTTATTGGTGTTTGATGGCGCATTGACTTATTGGACTTTATTCGAACTACATATTTTGGTTTATTGATTTGTGTACATGTAATTAGAAGTTTATTTTTAGAAAAAAATTGTTACATACTCAATAACATGCATAAACCACATACACAATTTAAAAAGAATAAAAATCAATGTGTCAACAAGCTTTTGTTCTTGTGTCCAAATTACAAATTGTGCTGGGATTTGTACCAGTTTTATCAAATCTCTCAGCATTAAAAGCTTTACTTATTGAATATAAATTATGCATACTTACTCATATTTTAAATCACATTTAATTTGTATAGATTTATACTTTCTACAGTTTATCATATTAAACCTACACTTGAATTAAGCAAAAAGACATTATGTGGGTTTTAGTTGTTATTTATTTTCATTTTTTTTAATTATTATTAATTAAATTATTCATTATTTTATTTTATTTTATTTTATTTATTGCTTAATTAAATTTTTTTAAATAAATTTTTGAATTTCTTATATTTTTTAATTCTTATATTTTCGCTTTATGAGTAATATTTTTACTTCCGGCTGATTGCAAAAGTTAATAAGAGGGTATTGTGAGTAAATAGTGGTTTCGACTTATCTGAAGTATACCTCTTGAGTAATGATTAATTACCTTGTTTTTCAAGTTATTTTCCATACTAAATAATACAAAAAGTATAATCATCGTTTCAATCCTTGCAAGGTATAAGATCAAAAATTACACGAGATAATTTAGGTTTAAATTTTCCAGGGAGTAGTAGAGTACACACACATGAGGACGCCTCGGCTAAATTTGATACCAATTGAATTATTAATCGGATGTTACTAAAGTTCCAGCAAACGTTAGTATAGAAGCTAAATTAATAACAGAAGCTAACAAAACCAACCAGGTGTTCTATTTAATTAAGAAAACGCAAATACAGTGTAGAAAGAATTTTTATAAGCAAAAACTTCTTTATGGAGTGATTTTGTTGTCGGACAACAGATCAGTTTTTAAACTGTCAGCTTATGTTATGGAACACCAAAATAAAACTTGGTAAAAATTTTAATGTGTCATGTTTATTTTCTTGATTGGATGTAATAATGTACATAATTGTTGTTTATTGATGTAAATGTGGCCGGGAACTTCTAGTGTTAATTAGATATTAAGTTCTGTGTCCATATATTGATTTCTGCCGACATCGGACATTAGTTAAATTTGCTTATAGCTAGTATTCACTGTGTCAATTTGAAAACTTGCAATCGGCAATATCTCTCAACTAAAAGTTATTGAGAATTACTCAAAACCGTTTTAGTGGTTCCTAAAAATGGCATGGTAAGTTACACATCTCCACTCACCCTTGGATATAATTAAAAAAAATGAAAAATTTTTGTTTTTGAATAATTGGAAAAACGGCTTTACCAAATAGGTTGTTGTATGACATTGAAAAGCGCTTATTATGAGCTTTCCAACGAGTAGGGTCGTGTCATTTAAAATTGTCAACTTGGGGTAGCTGTGGCTTCAAGAGTGGGTGGAGGTGCGTCACTTACCATGCCATTTTGATTCCTGCTAGCAATCACCGAAACGGTTTTGAGTTTCAATTCTAAAGATATTGCCGATTGTAAGTTTTAAAATTGACATCCTATACATATGTAGGTGTCTATAGTACTGTGCTTTTGTGTTTATAATAAGCGAACAAGTTTACCTGATAAAACTATTGCATTACCTATACTAATTGTAAATAATAACAATGCTTAATGCAATTAAGTTGGTTTTGCTTTAAGAGTTAGTACAACCAAAGATAGCAATTATTTCTTTCAGATTTCTTGTTTTTGTAAATGTAGCCATTTAGAAATGTAAAATACTCTAAAGTTATACTAATACCTCTCGCTGTTAGAGTATAAAGTTACTAAAATCTTATTTTGCTCGAAAAGTTTGATTATTCCAAAGCGACTTCACAATTTAATTTCCACAGATCGAAATCATATTTTGTGAGCTTTTATAACTAAATCTTAGCTTATTACGGTGTGTCTGCTGTTTTGATTACACTCATGTCAGTTTTTAGTTTTCATTGAAACTACACAATTTCTTAAAAAAAGATTTAATCGTAAGTAATTAACAGACCTGTTGGGAGTACTATACCTAATAACCTAGTTGTAGTCTGGAAATTGTTCAAGTGTGTTGAAAGAATCAAATCGTACACCTGCATTATAGAACTTGTAAATTTCTGAATTTATTAAGCAGAAGCATTTAATTAAATCATAGAATTAATGTTTTAATTTGATTTAAGCTGTCGTATGCGTTGTGGTATGATACAAATCGCTTTTATTTATAAAGCAAACAAACAGAAAGAGAGAAATATGAATACTGGGGTTGGTTTCTGTCATTCAACCCTGACCTATTTCGAGTAAAAGTTTATTTTGTTTTTCAACATGGTTAGATTTTTATGTGATTGTAGTTTTTGCTTTAGATTAGACATTTCTAGGTCTCAATGAAAAACACCAAGTCACTGCAAGTCGTTTCACTAAAATGTAATTGTCCTTGAAAAAAATAATAGCTTGATTTTGCAAGGACAATAAACACAAAATAGAAAATTTCACAAATAACGGTTTTTTCAATAGTATGTAATTATATGTATTAGAACCGAAAGAGTTTTTTTGTTAAAATTTACGATTCAATCTATAGAAAACATCATCAGTTTATAAAATTTCACACTTTTTTTACGTCTTAACAATTCTAAAATTGTTTGTCCGCAAGCGTCAGAAAAATAACGCTTTTATGACTATATGACACAAGTAAAAGTTTTACCTTTCAGACATGGAGTAAAAACACTGTTTTCTCGCCTAAGCGTTTTTCACTTACCTAACATTTAATGTCAGTCTCGGACAGTAACTTCCACCTGTAGGAGGAAAAAATACACTTACCTCCCTTGTAATATAAATAACTACAAAAATTACAAATTTTTGAAGTTATCACCTTAACTATTATAAATAACTCTCGCTTGCAGGCTTGTTTCTTAAATAATTTTGAAGATTAAAATTAATAACTCTAATAATAATAACAAAGGCCTACGAAAATCTATTTAAAAAAAATGAGTTGGTGACTGGATTTTATGTATTTTTTAGATTGTAATTCTAATAATGAAAGATTTAAAACATGTCCCAAAATGCAATTTTAAACATTGAAAACTTTTTTTTTGAAAACTCATTTTTCCGCTTGTCTTTTTGTAAACTCGCTGAGGAAGTTTAAGTAAATACTTCAAAGAGTTATTTATTAATCATAAAGGTAACCATAAACCGTGTCATTGTTACTAAATTTCAAAATTAAACGTTTGATTTGTGAATAAACTACACATTATAAATCACTATTTGCATTTAAGGCAACTTTTACATAGCAGACCTGTGTAATCATTAAACAAAGTTCCACTGTTCTTGCTGTAGAATTACCGCACCAAAGTGTAACTTTTGCAAAACATTTTTTGTGACAGTGAGTTGATATATACAGATCTCTTTAACGGGTTATTAGAAGTAGCAGGTTGAAAGGGTTTTGCTAAGTATTGAACAAAGTCTATTGTGGTTATTTTGCAAATACGAGTTAGTAAAGATACTCCTTATGAACTGTGTGGCAATTTTCAGTGTTTGTAAGAAAAAATATTTTGTGTGCAACTATTAGATTTATAACATACATTTAGAAATGCAATTTCACTTTTGACTGATGGATTTTCCTTGCATGTCCGTGACAATTTTTATAAATCCTGTTAACTATTCGTAAGCTCTAAATCCGTTCGCACTATAAATTAGTAATCGAATTGTTGGCACGATGTCTGTCTGCCTGTCCATTGAAGCGTCTCCAAATGTCACTTCGTGATGTGTGTTCCTTGAACACGAGTCACATTCGTGATGTAATAAGACACGTCTTTGTGACAATTAAAAATGCAGGAGGAAATGTCATTGATAATGACCTTGACTGTGAGGCGGTTAGAGGAACACTGCATGCGCAACGGGCTCGTATCGACCCATCCTGAGACTAGGATCGGAAGGATTCCTGCCGCACTAGGTCCGCTAGGTCAGTGCTCGGCGGATTTTGCCGGCCGCGGTACTCGCTCCATTCACTGCCGCCATCGTTATCGCGTGACCAACTTTTCGATGAATTACTCCAAATCGTGATGTCCTAGCAGTGTATGAGCATTTCTATTTACATCAAAAGACTATCCCTGGACCGTTTCGTAACCAAAAAAGCAAATAATATTTTGTCGCATTTCACTTTTTTTCTAAACACTCAAAGTACAAAAGTCAAATATCACATTTCTTGAACTTTTGAAATTTTGGCCTAGTTAAATTAAGAGGCATCAGCTGATTTTTACTTTCCATTGCCGACCCTGACTGAACTAGTTTCACTTTCGCGAACCGGCGCATCCACCAAAATTGCATCTTTGTCATTATCTCTGATGTC